TACAGTGCAACTAGTCTTCGGTGACAATCGTGGCAATCAATTGGTCTTACACTTGACAATTTGGGGAGGATTGATGGCAAAACGTGAAGATATTTTACAACTTTTGCAAACAACCGAGTTTTCATCTTCTCCGCTATGGATTCGCGATTTGGCGGTGGAATGGTGCACAATGTACGGCAAGAAACTTTTAAAACTCACATTATCCGGCAACTGCATGTACTTGCAACCAGCTACAGTGGAATATTTGTTTACTCTCGAGCATTGCATTGACCATATGTACTCATGGTTATATGAAAATACACACATTGTTAATACAAAACGCAGAAATTTTGTAAAAATTCTTCGAGAGAAGAATATCACCGAAACGGATAATGCTGTATCGACGATACGCAATAGCGGGGACTTTGACGGTGGTTCACTCATCGATTGCGAGCTATTGGCAATTGCGCAATGAATAATATTATGTATGAAGTATTGAACAAATAATCTGTATATGTAACACTTTGAAAATATATAAATTGTAATCCCAAGATTTGCTGTTTATGTATATCAGACCTTTTCCCATATTTTCTCGATACACCACAAATAGTCCTAAAATGTTATCCGGTCTTTTTGCAGAGCGTAGCGAGTGATGTATAACACGCAAAATCTTGTCGCGGGGGCACAGTGTACGTGCTCATTAGTAATAAGAATATCATGTGTCACATGCTTTTTCTTGCGCATCTAATTGTCGAATGCATACGTTTACAGAATATTAGAGTTTGCAGCTGTGACTAAAAATCACGCTGCGAAATGCGCGGGCGGCACGGACGGCGCAAAACCGGCCGCGAAAACCGCCGCAAAATCCGCCGCGGAAACCGCCGCGAAAAAAGGCCGCGATAACCGCCGCAAAGTCCGCCGCGGAAATCGCCGCGAAAAAACGGCCGCGAAAACCGCCGCAGATCGGTAAAATGATCTATCAAAAGCAGATAGAAAAAATTATATAATATCGGTAATTACCGATCATCGATATTATGTAAATATGACAGTAAAAGTTATGTAAAAATATATATGTGCTGATAAAAATTAAGTAATTAAATGTTGGTATATAATATCGGTAATAAATTACCGATCGTCGGTATTGTGTAATTATATGTTGGTAAAAATTATATGTTGGTAAAAATTATGTAATTAAATGTTATATAATATCGGTAAAATTACCGACCGTCGGTAACATCGGTATGCCCCCAGTTACCAACCGCTGATACCCCTCTTCCGCGGTGACGTCATACCTCCCGCGGTGACGCAATCCTCCCTGACGTCATACCCCCTGTGACGTCATACCCCCTCTCCGTGACGTCATACCCTCCGCCCGCCCCTCACCCCCACTCGGAGGACCTGGGTTAGAACCCCTATACTATACCTACTCGTACGCTAGCCGCTCACTTAACAAAAGCGAGAAAAATTATAGTGCAACGGAGCTTGAGTGTCTCGCAGTAGTATGGGGAATACGGAAGATGCGAGGCTACTTGGAGAGATACGATTTCACAGTATTAACCGACCATCAGTCGCTTAAATGGCTTGAAAAACTAGAATCTCCAACAGGACGCATTGGGAGATGGAAATTCGAGCTAAACAATATACGTTTCAGATAAAATACAGGAAAGGTAACGCGAATAAAGTGGCCGATGCACTCTCGAGACAACCGGAAATTGTATAAACAAAGAGGTACAATGTTTATGGTATCTTCGTATATATAATGAAACAAGGAAACAACCGCAGAAATCGCCCGACTATGAAATTAGGGACGGCAAGCTATACCGCCACATACTACATAGCCTCGATTTCAAAGAAATACCGAATAACGAGCAATGGAAAGAATGCATTCCTCATGAACATAGAAGGAAAATTTTGAGAGCATATCACGACGACCCAACAGCAGGACATTTGGGCATCGCAAAGTCAATAGGCGGCATCGCCAGACTATATTATTGGCCGGGGATGCTGAAGGAAATTAATAAGTATGTGCGAAAGTGCGAGAATTGCAAAGCACATAAGGCAGCACAACGGCAGCCTACAGGAATGATGCAGGCAACAAATGTGCAGCAGTTTTGGGAACAAGTCTCAATGGATCTAATCGGACCGCTACCGCGATCAAGTCACGGGCACACATGGGTGCTAAAGATGCAGGATCGATTTACGAGGTGGCTAGAGGTCAAGCCTTTGAGGAAAGCCACAGCAACGGCAGTTGCATAAGCGGTGTTAGAAGAAATAGTGTACAGACATGGAGTTCCGAGAGTATTAGTCTCGGACAACGGTACACAGTTTAAATCTGGCAGCATGAAAAAATTGGTACAGGAATTAGGAATCACACAGCAGTTCACACCAGTATGGACGCCGCAGTGTAACCCCGTAGAAAGGGCAAACCGCACGGTGAAGACTATGATCTCACAGTACGTGGGAGCAAACCATCGTCAGTGGGACGCTAATTTACATGAAATAAAATTTGCGTTCAATACCGCGAAACAAGATACCACCGGGTTTTCACCCGCGTATCTGAACACAGGCAGAGAACTGTCTGGACCACATTTCCGAGAAAGGGAAAGGCTAGAATCCCAGGAACCAGGCGAGATAACAAAACGACTAAAGGTGGCGTACGAATTAGTACGAATAAACTTAACCAGAGCGTTCCAAAAACAGGGGAAGTATTACAACCTGCGTAAAAGGCAGTGGAAACCAAAAATAGGCGACGTGGTCTGGAAAAAAAAATCACGCCCTATCAAGTAAGGAGAAAGCAATAAATTCGAAACTTGCGCCAAAATTTTTGGATCCTATGACCGTAAGAAGAATAATATATCCGGTAATAGTAGACTTACAAGACAAAAATAAAAAATGGTACAAACAAGTACATATACAGGATCTAAAAACAGAGAATGACCTGGATGACGTAACAACCGATGAGGAAGGGGTAAGCGAAAACCAGGAATAAAAGAAAGGATCTCACAGCAAAGGGATGAGTAGAGTGACATTCGGTACAGCAGCTACATCAGCAGTAGCAACTCAAGATGTCAAAACCTTTTGGTATCCACCTATTGGATTGGTTGGAAAGCTGGGAGCCACCAGCGGAAACGAACCACCGTCAAACGAGCAAAAACTGACTCAGACAGTTACAGAAGGCGTGCAAACGGAGGCTTGCAATAATTGCAAGCAAATTAACAAAAACCCAGAAGAGAAGACCTGCATACACCGAGCCGCCTCGTAGCATAAAACAGGTAGTTAATATTTTAAGAGGCCGCAGCTTCGAACTTCCACACTACGCGTCATTATCTTCCCTAATCTACCACAAGTACATCGACGGAGAATACTGGCGGGTAGATTTTCATCAATCCGGAAAAATTAAAAGAGTGAGAAAAGTAAACAAAACCGAATTACCATTACCATTGGAAGGACAAATAAACCAGATATAAACAACAGATCATAACAAAGGAAAAAAAAAGGGGAAGTCAAGATCATGGGACGTAAGGAAGCTAAGCGGAAATATAAACAAGGATCCGAATCACGAGAGAATTACTAAGTAGCAGCGCAGCGAACAGTATGGACGACGTGGACAGAACCATAGTGGAGCTATTAGCTACGTGGAGCGAGACCGAGGCTCAAGCCCTGTGAGACAGCATCCTACCACAGGAGGATAGAACAGCAGGGGAAATAGTCATCCCACCAGGGTTACCCAAGGACATGGGTAATGGTAACAGACCAGCACCAGCCATGCCGCAAGACGCATCCGACAGCGTTAACAAAAGAAAGGAAGCGCTGCGCTTTAATGAGATTACCATCACCCACGCGCGATAGACGCCAAAGATCATCAGTGAGAGCAGTCAAATGGGGTATAAAAACGACAGTGACCACCGATACTACAAAACCGACCGCCACGGACAACCGAGAGAAACCAGAAGTACAACCGAAAGGAACCGGACCACGGATAAAGTATGACATAAAAGTAACACCACCAAAAGTCATCAAGTGCGAAAGGAAAACAGGCGACAAAACATCAGTCCGCGTGGCACTTACAGAAGAACTGGTATTATAAGTGCCATACAACTCAGCACATATATCTCGCCGATACCGTAAGTACCATAACGGTACATTATGGATAGCTAGATTCCATACAGGAGGGATAGTAAAATCCGTACGTGGTCGGGTCGACCACTCGCGAAATGGGAGGGGGTGATGTAACGATGCATGTCGTTACGTTACGAAAAACAAAGGAACGCAAAACATCGCGAATCAAAAACGCAAAAGGACAGCGCGTCCTCCAAAATGGTAAACAGCGCGACCGCCGAACACCCGCGGTAAATAGCGAATCAAGCGAGATTCGAAAAGTATAAAACGCCGCGTAATCGTAATCGCGAGGAATTCGATCATCCGCTCTTAAAAGAGAATCAGAACCGATCTACCGCTCCCAAAGGAGAATCCGATTCCGATTATCCGCTCTAAGAGAGACCGCTTCTACTCCGCTCCTGGCAGATTACTGTTCGTCGATTGGCGACTGTAATCACTCCGCCATCGTTACACGGATACGTGTAATCGACACTCGCGTCTACTCCGTTCCTGGCAGGTTACTGCTCGTCGACTGGCGACTGTAATCACTCCGCTGTCGGCTCACGGATTCGTGACGCCGACACTGATAAGGTCCGCGGCATCGTTGACCGCATCCGAAATTGTGTCCGAATGAGCCGAGCTCGTTCAATCATAAAGGAAACTCCGAAAGCTAAGGTCCCGTGTACCAGGACCGACGGACGCATCGCATACACCGAAACGAATCAAATCTCCGCGATAGGAGATCGAAGGGATGGCCGCTAAGGCAATACCCCGCGTGCAGCTACGCTGCAGTCTCAACGATCGTGGACATTGTACGATTCCGAAGCGCAGCTAAAATCGCTGTAAGAAGTTGTCAACCGCGCTTAAAGAGACAAGACGCCGAAAGAAACGTCAACAAAATAAACTCGCGAATACGCGACACTGACGTCGTCCGCGTCCCGCGCACCGCGCGTCACATCTCGCAAACCGGCGTCTAAACAAACCTCTGTCAGGTGACACAAACAATCAAAACCAACGGCGTCGACACGTATTGTTTGATATCTATATTGTAATTATCGTCAGCCTAGTATTTAAATATATTGTAAATTATTATTCTTGAAAACACTGTTTCTCAATTATTCCGCTTATCACGAATCCGAACCGACGAGCGATCCAAAACGTGACGCATCGCGGTTACATATTCTTAACTACCTCCTGTAGTGTAATAAAAATATATACAATACATTTTTGCATGACCATTGATTTTACACATAACTGTCTGCACATCTGCATTTGATGATTCAAATTACGCGGAATTACATCGCGCGATATGCTATGATATTAATTTCTTTACCGTTCTTTACCGTTTCATTATCTTTTTTTTTTACCGTTCTTTACCGTTTCTTAACCGTTTTTTACCGTTTCTTTACCGTTTTATTCCCGTCCTTTACCGTTCTTTTTATCATTCTTTGCCGTTTCTTTACCGTTTTATTACCGTTCTTGACCGTTTTTTACCGTTTCTTATTCGTTTTTACCGTTTCTCAACCGTTTTTACCGTTTCTTTACCGTTCTTGATCGTTTCTTTACCGTTCTTTACCGTTTCTTTACCGTTCTTTACCGTTTCATTACAGTTTTTTTTTACCGTTTCTTTACCGTTCTTTACAGTTTATTAATCGTTTTTTAGCGTTTCTGTAGCTGTTCTTTACCGCTTCATTACATAATATATTGTCCATGATATATAACATGCAAACGCTTGCAAAATTTTATCGCGGGGGGGGGGGGCACAGTGTACGTGCTCATTAATAATAAGAATTTCGTGTGTCATATTCTTCGTGCGTATCATACTGTCAAATGCAAACGCTTGCAAAATCTTGTCGCGGGAACACAGTGTACGTGCTCATTAGTAATAAGTATATCATGTGTCACATTCTTTTTCTTGCGCATCTAATTGTCGAATGCATACGTTTGCAAATTCTTAGATTTTGCAGCTGCGACTAAAAAATTACGCTGCGAAATACGCGAGCGGGCGGCGCGAATGGCGCGGATGGCGCAAAACCGCCGCAAAATCCGCCGCAAAAACCGCCGCGGTTAAAATCGATAAAATGATCTATCGAAAGCAGATAGAAAAAATTATATAACATCGGTAATTACCGATCATCGGTATTATGTAAATATGACACTAA